CCCCCCCCCGCTCCTCCTCCCCGCCCTTTAAATTTGCATGAAAATGCAAATTTAAAAGGGGGAGAGGGGTCGGAGGAGAAAGAGGAATTTGCTATTCTTTATGAAATAAAATAACATTTGTTCTCTTATTGTGTTACTATCTGCTTCGTGAGGAGCTCCGTTGCAGGCCTGAACTTACATTGAGGTCAGACTTTTAATATAATTTCTCCAGGATGCTTGGGATTCGATTTCTCGTGCTGCCTGTGATTCTGACAGTGGTGTGCCATGCACATCGGGTTACTCGCATGGTTCAGTCAGTTGCGGTAAGCGGTATGTTTGTTTGTGGTCAAAGACCGGCAGTTGGCGTTCTCATTAAGCTTTTTGAGTTCGACGGCAATCTGAGAAATGCATTCAGTTCTGAATTTGTTGACAGTACTGGATATCTAAAAGGTTTGCATTCAACATTTATCTGATCCGTCTTGTTCCAAACATCGATAATTCCAGGACTATAAGCATTCATACGCTACTTGTCTTGCTTTCATTCTTTCCAACGTGCCGCCTCAAAAACTAAGTGTTGATCGTCCCATCTCACTGACCCTCTGACATAAAGCATTATATCCTAACCGATTTTCTTCCTTTCTTTCTATCGTGCCATCTCGAAAACCTTGTGCTGATTGTTGCGCTACTGGATTTTACCTTTCTGTGAGTTTTTGCACACACGCAAATGCAAAAACGTGTGTTGTGACGACCTTGGCGTGCATGTGTGTGTCTGCCAGTGTATTTCAACTCGGCAAATAGACAGAGTTCGGCGCTAAAATTTCGCCATTGGGTTTCTCGGCCAAGTTCCACTCCGGGGCGCGGTAACAACCCTCACGTAAATCTAGGCCTCGCATACGAGCACATGAAAGTTTTAGCGGGGAAATCGCTAGCTCGGAAACTAGTGAAATTGGAAAGCTGAAATTTTGACGGAATGCTTTGTCCAAGTACCAAGTAATGGCACAATTAACTTCTCGAACTTCGAGGAGCAGTACGTCACAAATTCTAGCTACTGGGTTTTCGAGCGATCTTACCACAGAAATACTGCAAAAATGCATGATCGCACGGGCCTGCCTAGTGTGCGTCATCAATAGTTTTGATGGAAAAATCCTCATGTTGTGCATTAAGTCAGCAGTATAACTAGCAACTGAGATGAAAGCATCAAGTTTTCAAGCTGCAGCAATCGAAAAGAGGAGATAAGTCAAATAGAACATAATCCCTACAATCAGTTCATTCGTTTCGATGATAATTTGGTAGTTGCTTTTGTCAAGGAATCAAAGCCGACACCAACCTGTATGAAACTCCCAAAAGAAGAAACCACCGTTGAACTTGTAAATTTTTGACTAATACTGGAAGTTGTTGTCGCTTGGGCTACTTCCCGAGCGCTCCCGCCTCTGATAATGAGCTGAAACGGAGGTGATTTTGATGAAGAGTTTAAAAAGACATTTAGTTCCTCAAGGGATCTTGGCATATGTCGCTATTATTTAACATATTTATCGGACTACTCTTGAAATGTGATGGAAGATTTGCCATTGTATTCTTGCACCGAGGCACAAAATTTTTGTGATTTTTGCAGTACCGAACCACGACGATGTTCTGAACGAAACTCACACAGATCATGAGGGACGCTTCTTCGTTCATGGTACTGCACTGGAAGTGGGTCAAATCGAGCCGATAGTGAAAGTGTATCACGACTGTCTACATAGTGGACTTGTTAGTTGAATCATTCGTAGATGCTCGAAATGTGGTACTTTACTCATCTTTTTTCGAAAGAATAAAGGCAAAAAAAAGCAGAGAAAGGAATCATACGATTACCAGCGTTCTGATCATTGGGTGCTGTTTCGATTACTGCAACCACCGAAAGTTTTCTAGCTACAAAAAAGCACTGTTGTTCAGTACATTTCAAAACCAAAATTGACCAAAGTATGGAAGGAAAGTTTTTTAATGAAAAGCACATTTATAGTATTATTTCTATGCGTTTTTGTAGCCTGGAAAACGAAAAATTCATTTCATCGTGCCGCCACACTTCACTAATTACGGTACTCATGCTGAAAAAGTGCTCGATTTGGGTATTTTCAATCTGGAAGCAATACTTCCAGTAAGCCAGCTTCGCAGTTCATATGTGCTTATGCCTGTCTGTTTTATCAAGTTTAAAGATGTGGTGATGAGCAGCAAAATCAAA